TGGCCGAGGCTGCTGACCGGGCCGCTGACGTGGCTGCTGACGTGGCTGCTGACGTGGCACAACTTTTTAAATTGCGTTTTGACCCCTTGTTTTCGATTTTCTTTCCAAAAGCACCCCAGAATCCAAATTTTCACCCCTTTTTCCCAAAATCAATTTCAATTAAATCCAAATAATATTTTTACCCAATTTTATCATTATTATTATTTTTATTTTCATAAAATTAAATTAAATTAAATCAAATTAAATTAATTAAAAATAAAAAAAAATTCAAATAATTACAAAATAAAAATAATAACACTTAGGTGTTACACCCTTCTCTTCTCCCTAGTTTGCTGGACAAAATTGAGTCTTTTAAACATCTCGAAGAGCTGATCAACATCATCCCAAAGCGATCCCTCCTGGACTGGTCTATCTAGCAGGGGTCTTCCTCTCCTCATGTTCCTTTACCTAGATTTCATAGCAATAGTTTGAGATTTGGGTTGCATTAAATTTACTCTAACCCTATGTACAAGAAATGGTTCCGAGAAATACTGTTATGATACCAACCATAAAAGTTCAAACCACTACTAGGAATTCTGAGTGTATAACTCAGTAATAGTAAAATAAATAATACTGAACTTTATAATTTAGCATAAACAATTAAAGTTTGAGGTTACATTCCTTACACGTTCATTTAAAAATGCCCAATATAAGAGAATGCCCTTGAAACTTAAACGAAAAAAATATAAGAGAAAAAAAAATATGATTAACCTCTACTTGAAACTGACGAAATTGAAGAGGCAATCTCTTAACTAGTTTTTTCCTGCTTAGGATCCGGATCTTGGTTGTTTTGATATAAAATAATTAATAATAAATGGGTGAATTACACTAACTCAGTAAAAATATCAACGCTTTACCACTAATACGGAAAATTAAAAGGTTGTACAAAACATAAAACAACCAATGGAGCTTATTCTTAATAAAACTCGAATGCTAGTACCTTGATTAGATGAGTTGCTCTGGTTTCAGGATAGATTGTGTATTTTTAGTGATAGTAAGTTGAAGAGAGAGATCATGAGAGAGGCCCACAGTTTGAAGTTCACCATACACCCGGGAAGAACCAAGATGTACAAAAATATGTTGCCATGATTCTGGTATAGCAGGATGAAAAGGGATATTGTTGATTTCGTCTTGAAATGCCTCATATGCCAACAAGTCAAGGTAGAAACTAGTTAAGAAATTAACTCTTCTGTTTCGTCAGTTTTGAGTAGAGGTTAATAATATTTTTTTCTCTTTTTTCTTTCTATTTAAGTTTTAAGGGCATTTCCGTAGCCCCTGTTGGGTATTTTAAGTGAACGTGCAAAGAATGTAACTCTAAACTTTAATTGCTTCTGTTAAATTATAAATTTTAATATTATTTATTTTACTATTATTGAGTTATACATTTAGAATCCCTAGTAGGGGTTTGAGCTTTTACATATAGAGCCTCTCTAGTTAGGACATTAATCACCTTATTATATGACTTAAGAATTCAGTTCGTAGAAAAAAAACAAAAACAACTTAAATTGTTCAACAATATCATTCAATATTAAAACAAATTCCCCAAGGTACTAGTGCTTAGAAGAGATTCCTTAGAATAATCCTTTGTGTATCCCTTTCGACAATGGAATTTTGTATACCTCTTCTTCTTACTAACTCAATTCCATATTGTAAAGTAAATAACTTTGCAATCTTTGCATAATCAGATAAAGGTAGTCATCGCCTACTTATTAAGATTACCCTGCCATTGTAATCCCTGCATGTCACACCTAATCCCATCATTCCATCATTATCAATAAAGACATCATTATTTAGTTTAAATATTCAATCGATGGAATAGTCCATGAAGTTTGAATTAAAGGTAAGGGAATTGAGATGTGCTTTGTTTTTGCTCCATTGCTTATTTGTACTCATAAAGGTCCTATACCAGCTTCATGATCAGACAATAAAGGTCCACTCTTTTTTTAAAAAAAAAAAAATTATGGATCCATTGGTTTCTACTCTACCATATGCCAAAGTGTTATCATAAACTTTGTTTTACCATCTATCTAAGAAGATTCAAGATTTAATCTTGACATAAAAATGTAAAGAATTATAAAGAATACCTAGTAGTGGATTATGTTTCCACAACATTTTAGCATAGCTACAATCCTTAAATGAATGCTCACTTGATTCCTCGATTTCACTACATATATCATAAATTGGATGAAGTGATATCTCTTTCTGTTCTAGTCGCTTTTTAGTTGGTAAGACTGATGAAATTTTGCATTTTAAGGAACCATTGGGGCATGCCTTAATTTCTTCTAATTGATCATAATTCTTATTATTTAGACCTATCCCATCTCATGTTCTTAACTAATTCGAGCCTTGAAATACCAATCTTATAGAGTATTGACCATAGCCAAACAAGCTTGTTAAGAGGCAATTTGTGGCTTAGAGAAATATTAGTTACATAATGGGCTTTAGAAGGGAGAATATGCTATTTTTGATGGCACATTCCATATTTCGTTATGAAAAAAAATTAACATACCTTATTAATGGTATAATGGCAAGTATAAGGGCTCCATATCCAATGCCTAAGTTGTCGAAGAACCTACTTATCTTTTCATACATCACCACATTGCCCATTTCTAACCTTCTACCACAAGCCTTATTTTAATAATTCCCGCTCGGCCAGGATGCTGCACCAGGAATGACTTGGCCAATGTCCTAATTGAGCACTTCAGAAGTCCCTACTAGTGAAGTATTTTGCTCTCAACAATTTACCAAGCACAAAATCAGGAGACTAAATAAGCCTTCAAGTTAACACGACTAGGTTAAAACTATGGAGGTCTCGAAATTGTAACCACTTTCACTTTTTGATTTATAAATTCTTAATCATGGAAGCTAATGGATCTTATTATCTCTAACATTTTGGATTCACCAAAATCTAGATTTACTTCAAAGTCCTTCTAAGGTTCCTACCAATTCCTTTAATAAAAAAGATAATAAATTTTTTAATGGTTTGATTGTTTAACTTGATGCTTCATAATATTATTTTAGGATCCTCTTAATTCTTTAGATTTTCATTTGATTTATCCTATCAAAGATAATGTAATCATCTATAAGAAACAAGTGACTTATTGGTGAAGCCCCATAATAGAGTACACCCGACTTCTTTTGCTTCCTTAGAAGAACCAAAAAAGCTTATGCACAAATAATAAATAAATAAAGAGACAAGGGATCCTTCGATGAATGATCCCTAGATGAATAAATGACATTTAATAGCTTTTCATTAATCCATATAACATAGGAAACTGAAGTGATGCATCTTATTATCAAGTTAATAAAGAGGTCATGAAAATCCAATGTTTGTAACATATGTTTCAAGAAAGGCGAATACGCTCTATCATATGTTTTACTCATATCGAGTTTCAAAGAAAAATACTCTTACCTATATGTTGAGTGGTTTTTTAAAAAGAGAAAAAGCTCAAGGACAATGAGTGCATCATCCATAATCAATTTGCCATATGAGTAAACTTTGTAATTAGTTTTTTAATGTACGTGAAAAACTTAAGATATGTATATTATAAATAAAATTTATTAGTATCACACGTATTCCTTCTTTACATATACATAAAATTTTTCCTTTTTAACTTCTATGTTTAACTTTCATGTAAAATAGTTTTAATTTATGATTTAGGAGATTTATATTCTTATTGTAAACATCCTTTTTCTTCTCATTTTTTTTCTCTCTCTTCTTTCTTTCCTTCGAGTTTTGGAGTTTTTTAGATAAACCTTAACAATTTATATGTGCAGTGTTGCTCTTGTTATAATTACAAAAAAAAAAAGTTAATAATTTATACTGAATTATAAAATAATCTTATAAATTTTATAAAATAATTATTTATTTTTCTAAGTTGAATATTACACAAGCATTACTTGAAAAAAAACAATTTTGATTAGATCTTCCTAAAAATCAAAACTTAAATAATCAAATCCACATCACAATATGTAATTCTTTTCAGAAGCCAAAGAGTGGCCACAACATCTAAGGTATCAAATCAAGATTTTGATACCTTTTTCTGAGTTATTTTAGGTATCTATTATGGATCCTTAATAGATTTGAATTGAGCAAATAAAAATTAGATTATAGATTTAAAATTTTTATAAAAATAATTATAATTATGTAAAATTCAAATAACATAGTATATTTATATTATTAAAAACACTATTACATAATATAATAACATTAAATTAAAAGATAATGAGGACAGTTTGAATTCAAACTTGAAGTAGAAACAAAAAGCTTAAATTCATGATTTTTGGAAGAAGCTTAATTCATGATTTAGCACCAAAAAAAACATTTTTAACCCGTTTTTTAAGGAAAATAATTCAAATAATCTCGACCCGTTTCGTTTTTCTAGGAAATTCGGGCCTGTTACTTCTGCGACTGCTAAGAATCTCAACTCTCTCTCTCTCTCTCTAATTTTTTTTTTTGTTCGAAAACCTAAAAGAAGGGACTTCACTGTGGCGGGAACTTTACATTTAAATCACTATCACTGCAAACACAAATTCCCTAGAAGAATTCTGCATTTCTACCGTGTAAATGGATTTGAGTTCCATCAAGGAATATCTAAAGGAGGTACCTGATTGGGACGACGAGGTAATGGCCACAGCCCGATTCAAGGCGTTCAGCGGCCAAAGATTAGATTGGGAACCTAAATTCCGTTTCTGGCGTGACTTGATTCTCAACATCTGCCGCCATTTTGGCCTCTTTATCGTTCAACCCTCGCAGGTTTGGCATTCAGCCATTCACTTTCTTTCCTTAACCTCTTCCTTTGATTTCGTCTCCAGTTATACACCAAACTAAGTGGTATTTGTTTTTTTTGTTTAAAGGTGAAGAATATTTGGTTCAATCGTGGGGGATTGGTACCTTTATGTATCGAAGACGTGCTGGTGTGCTTTTCTGGTACTCAAATTTTGATTGTTTTGTCATAGTTAGGGTACTCGCTTATTAATTTTTTGTGTTTTCATCTTCAGGTCGTCATGTATAACGAAGGTGATATTATTCGAATTGGGGATCTTGAGGATCCAACTCGTACGCGCTTCTCTCAGCTATTAAGCAAAGTGAGGAATTTGGTGGTGCGAACCAGAATGGCACCGGAACTCATTCTTGAAGACCGAGTCATTATTGCCCCACTATTAAAAGTTTGTAGTTTGCTCGACCATGACCAATTTCTTTCCTTTTTGTTTGGCAAAGATTTCTGATATTGAATTTATAATTTTATCTCATGGAGTGAATGAGCTAACTAGTTGCTTCTAGAGGCTCTTTCTTCTAAATGGAGTGCATTTAGAGCGAACTAGAATCGTTTTGGTTGCTGTGGATACTGGTCAAGGCACATAATTTAGAAGGTTCAGAGATTTAAGGAATTTTGTCTTATAAATAGAACCTCCTGCATTGAATTTTGCATGCAAGAGATATTTATCTTTGATGCCAAGTGTGGTAATTAAATGCATGGTGTTGGGTTCAAACTCCTCATTTGCTTATAATGCTTTTAATATTAATCATTATCTACTTTTACTTGCACATTATTCTTCTTTTTGCATAAGACAATTAAGAGTTTATTAAACTTTAGATATCACATCTGTGAATTGGTATAAAAGCATAGAAAAATAAACTAGTCACAGCTAGAATCTCTTAAGCATTACACCTAAATGTGAGGGTCTCTTAAGCATCATAGTAAAGTTGATTTGTATTACAAACAATCCTCGCGATAAGTTGTTTACTAAAATGCATAATCTCAAAAGTACAATTAGAAAGGTATTTACAATGCTGATATAAAAACCATAGTCTAAATATAATTAAACAATCGTAATAGAGAACTTAATAATTAAAAGAACAAAATCCTAAAGTCTCTAAATTATATTTATGGACTGCTCAATAATATAATAGTTCTAGATTTTAAAAGTATGATTTGTAATCTATTCTAGTTCACATTCATTCTGCATCATTCTCTCTTTGTTAAAGTTTTTTTTGTGAATTTTGAAGTAGTGGATGATGTAAATCTTTGATCTTGGAGCTTTGAATAAAAAATTAGCAAACTTTGCAATTAGTCTGTAAGGGGTGAGGACCCAAGCCCAACATTCCACACATCAAATATACCACCTGCAGAGCCTATGAAGCCTCTAAAGGTGTACAAGAGGCGTCCTCAATCCCTAAAGCTATCCAAATGACTGGTTACCAGGTTAGCAGTATAAAATTCTCATCACTACAGTTAATTGCCAGTCTTAGCTAATTTTAGGATTCGGTACTAGTGGTCCTTGCAGATATACTGCCTCTGCCAGATTTGATTTTCTTTTTTGCTTTTCTGTTTTATTTTTCTGATTTGTTTTTTGCTGTCATTTCTCTTATTTGAGGCCGAATCATTAGTAAGGGATAGAAAAGGCTAGAATATAGCAACTCAAAACTCTTATGCATTTACAGATTTCAATTACCAGAAAATTCTCTGTCTTTCTCCTTTTCCTCTCTTCTTCCTCTCTTCTTCCTCTCTTTTCTCACTCGTTTCTCTCTCATTTCTCTATTTCTTCTTCTTTCTACTGCTACTCAACTATTCTTCACCCTAATCCTTGGTTGAGTATATGTGTAAGGAACTTGACAACTCATCCTTGTCAAAAGCAAAAACAATGCAAAAAATAATTGGTTAGGAGTGTGAAACACTGTAGACAAGATGGAAACAGCAAATGGAGAAATTAGTGTGTTATGATCCTTGAGTTGAATATCTATAGACAATTGTTGACTTGTGTTTCTCTTTGCGCAAAACATCCATGCTTTAGGTAAATGATCTTGAGCAATCTCTAACTCGTTGTTTTCATTTGGTAATTCTTCTTCTTGCTCCTTCATTTCATCATTTGCCTTCATGATAAGATCACATAGTTCAAAAGTAGTTACTTCTGCAATTTGGATATTTTGGGCAGTTTGCCCAGCTTGTCCTATACACATACTTCAAAGTTCTTCCAGAAGTGCATTGGTTATGCTTTCCACTATCTCTAATCTCATGCTCAAGGTATTTAATTGTGCTTGAACAGCTTATTTTGCATGTAATTCGCGTCAGTCACTATTAGAACTCAAGAAAAGATCAAAAGCAAAACAGAATTGGTCATACCAGCATGGATGGATTAGAAGAGTGCATAACCAGTCTGATTAAGGTACGAAGCAATATGTTCAAACTCGGTTACACAAAAAAAAAAAGAGTTTAAAACAAAGCACATCTAATGAAGTTCATCCTTGAGTTGACTGCTTCGGACAACATGTGGCCCTCCTATCACAGAAGGATGTTGGTATTGGCGGTTAACTTATTTGGATAAGGGGGTTACAGATAAGGGTTTAGTAAGAGCTCTTCCTAAACAGTGATATGTAGGTCTAGCAAAATTTAACACAACCGTATGGGGCACAGAATTGGATGAGTTTAAGTTTAATCTAAATAGGTTTGAGTATTAATGAGTTAAAACCCATTTAGAGTCGTTAGGAAATTGGTTCTAAACAGGTTAAATCTACATAACCCCATTTGGGCATGTTTGACTGGTCAATATGTTAATCTCATTAATATATTTGATCCACTAAATATATGTATATATAAATATACATATATCATCATATATTTGTGTTAAGAGATACATAATAGAATATATATCATATATACGATAGGATATATATAAATTTAATACACATGTTAAACAAGTTAATTCAAGTTTCTGATTGCTTAAAACTCATTTAACATTTTATAGAAAACATATCAGGTGATCTAAATAGGTTGCTATCTTGTAAACATATTGTGTATGGTTTTAGAGATCATAAATAGTTTATTATGCGGTATCTGTATGGTTAGAGATAGTAATCTTTTGTAGCAGGTATTATTACAGCCTGTTTAGACACAATTCACAAATTTTGCCCCCTCAAGTGGCATGTTATTTTAATTTGGTCTTTTATGGCAGAGCTTTGTATGTAGGCCAGTCAAGAGTCCTTAGTGCTGCAGGTAGAGGCTATGTCGAAAGTTGCACTTTGGTTTATGGTGATCTGGCAGCTGATTTTTTTTGGGGCTTAAGAACTTTAACTTCATACTGATTGATTTAGGACACATACTGTTTACCTATTCAGTGGTTTGGGTTAAATTTAAGGATTCTTGGATATCACACCTAGAATTGGGGTAGAAAACAAAAGAATAATTAGCAGTAACACCTAGAATCCCTTAATTGTCAGACCTAATCTGAGAGTTCCTTAAGCATCACCCTAAGAGTTGATTTTATCACACAACCAAGCTATTGAGAGAATTGTCATGATATTTTTAATTCCATAAAATTGAAGTTCAAAGTTATGCTTAAAGTACAAAATACTAATCCAACAAATAATTAAAAGGATATAATAGAAAACTTAATAGTTAAGAATAAAATCCTAAAGCTACTAATATTATAATAATACACTTCTAAAGAATACAATAATTCTATATTTAAAAAAATATAATTCTTAATCTATTTAGAAAGTCTAGCTCATATTCACTCTTCATCATTTCCAACCATAGTTGACATCTTGTGACTATGAGTTTATGTTCTGTTGTCATTGATATACAGGAGAAAGCAGCTGAAGTTGTTAAACTTTTATCCGAGACCCATTGGACTTCTTCATGTGTTATTACGATGAAGAAGTTCCAAAACATTTGTAGAGGATCTAGTGAAGCATTTGCAGTCTTGAGTTACTTGTCTAAATGTGGGAACACACAGTATCTCTCCATTACTAAGAAGGAACTAATAGAGGTATTCTATATGGTCCATTGCTCAACTATATTTCCTAGATATTGTTCTGCTATCTTCTCTGAAAACTGAATCTGTTTCATTGATGTCTAGATTGAGGTTGAACTTATAGTTGGCCGGTTAGTTCTGCCAACAAGAATTTTTCAACCTCAACTGAAGTTAATAGGAAATCTTGAATACTGGTTATTTAAAAATAAATGCTAATATGTAATTCAATACTTGACGCTATTCTGTTAGTGGTTGTTTAGTTGCTAGCATAGGTCTGAATAAGCCTTGTATGTACACGTAACCTTTATCTTCTAACATGTCAATATCTACAACTCATACCTGCACACGTAAGACAGCATACTCCATGAAGCAGACCTTGGAAACCTCTTTGGTACTTTATTCTTGTAAAGACAGACCTTGGAAACCTCCTTGGCAATCTTTTATGGAATTTCTCTTTTTCTTGGAAAATAATAGCCAATTGACAGACACCGTACCGTTGTCAAAGCAAGAAGTCCATGTAATTACAATTACTTCAAAACATTGTTTTGATATCACAGAATAGCTATTCTATTCCATTCTTTTTTTTTTTTTGTTAAAATATTTAGCAAAGAAATGTCCTTAGTTATTCTGGATCACGAACCTACTTGTAAGCAATCTATAAATTCTGATATTCTCAGAAGTTTCTGACTCAACTATTTGCCCTCTAAAATAGGTTCTCTTATCTCTGAAAAGAACTACTTCAACAAGCTTAATTGATTACATCATGTGGTATGCTTATGCATATTTCTCTCAGCAGCAGGCTAAGCTTATTAACCTCTCTCACAGGGTATAAAAGTTTCCCTAACACCAGCTGCAGTTCCCAGTATTTCAAGTTTAGATTGTGATGTTCTGCATTTGATATGGACAACCGAAAAGCTTCAAGAACAACTTGATCTGATTGATCAGCGTTATCAGGGGTAATTTTGTCTTAGCATTCCAATATATATATATATACACACACACACATATATTCTTAACTTGGTAATTGACTTGCATATGTGGTATTTTTGGCTTGAGGTGCCCGCATAATCATGGATGACATGACCTGTATGGATTAGGAAATCATTGGAATCGTAAAGCATGTGATTTTGCATTATCAAGAGATTATTATGATTCTCACCCCAGGTTTTCATTGACTGATCCATTATGATGCAAAAAATGCACCGGTCAAACGAGATTGTGACTGGGTTTTCTTCTTACTATGAACAAATTGAAGAGGGTTGATTGCTGGCATGTATTGCAGACATCAAGTGTGATTATGAAACATTGTTTTTCATCCATTATGCTCTCTATTCTCTCTTAGAAATTGTATTCTGTTGAGGATGTAGGTTGCACTACCTGAAATCAAGTCCACTCCTCACTGTTTCCATAAATTTTTTTCTCTAGATCAAGAAAATCAGCATTGACTTCTTTAAAATCTGGAAACAAGAAACTGGCTTTGAGGTATGCAAAGGAGATGAAGTTGGGAAATGAGAGTAGAGAAAAATATACATCCCTTCTGAACAGGGTGGAGGAAGTCCTAAATGTAATTGCGGATGCTGAATCCACCAAAAAGGTATATTTGAATTCTTATGAAGTTGCAGATAAAGCTTATCTGTATGGCAAATATACATCATTGAACCTCAAATGCTTTTGTTATTTCATACTACTGAACAGGCAAAAGTTACTATTCTCATATATGAGCTCCACACTTTCATATAACCAAGTTTTAAACTGTAAAGCCTTGAACTTCCTGATCCATGATGATCTAAATGCAGCTTTCTGAAGCTATCCAAATTGGAGGCAGGATAATGAAGGAAAATCAGATCAGTTTTGAGGAAGTTCAAGTTTGTTTAGACAAACTCGAGGAGATAATTGATTCACAGAAGCAAGTTGAAAAAGCTCTTGGTTGGTGCTTTATAAACTGCATATCTTTAATTGTTCAAAGTTCCAATGAGTAGGAATTATGGCTTTATGAATTTACAGATGACATCTTTGTATATTTGCTTTATTTAACTGAGATCTTGGTGGCCGTTACAGGATCCACTCCTTCATATGCTGACATTGAAGATGAAGATATTGAAGATGAATTTAACAAATTGGAGTTGGAACTAGAAAGTGAAAAGTCACAAGTTCAAGCGGCAGGAAAAGCAGCTTCTTCCAAATCTGCAGAATCATTGAGTAACATTCTTTCAAATCTCAGGCTTGCTGATGGTCCTGGTGTGGCATCAGAAATTCTGGAAACTGTTGCAAGAGGCAGAAAAGATGAATCAAAAAGTTCAATTCTTGAACCTGCGTAGTTACATCTTATGATTTCTTTCATTCTTTTGTCATATAACTTAGAAGTGTAGCCATCAATCTCTAGATCTGTTTTGTTTGTATAAAATTCGCAATGTATGTATCCAAATGTAGTGTTATTAACAGTTGATGAAGGGGCATTTTTCCTGTTGTATTTCATTTTCTTTTAGTTGATTATGTAAATATCCAAAGAATTGTATCCACTGGCAAAAGAATGGACCATTCATCTTCTAATGAAGACTGGTTGGCTGAGTGGGAATTTTTACAAAGCTTGAACAGAACGGAGGCGCCAAATGAGATGTTTCTTCAATAATTAGTTGTTATGTAAGTATTATTTTATGTTATTCTTTTTCTATTTTGATCAAAACATGTAGATTAATATTTATTTTTCTTCTTCTTTATGATTTTAATTATACATAAATTAGAATATTGAATAAACTTAAAAGTTGAATTTTTTTGAAGGACAAAGTGAAACATAAATAAAAAGAGGGAAGTACCCAAGTAATGTACTTTCATTAGTTAAGATGAAAAGTTACGGAGGAAGTATTTAATATAATAGTAATTCATTTTCAATTTAATTATTATATGGTTTACTTTAAATAGATGTATATTAATACAAAAAAAAAAAAAAAAGCAGAGGCTTGTTCTTTGCTGGTGGAAAATTATTTGGAAACATCTATTATTTTATAACTTATTCCATTTCTAAGGTTTTATAATTATGATATTTTATAATTGATTGAGTTCTGAGGTTTTTAAATTACTTTCAAGCAAAATTTTTTATTACCAAACAGTTATTACGCAAGTGAATATTTTTTTTAAAAAAAAAAAATAATAAATCAATTAAATAGAAGCATAATCACTTTGAAAAAGTAAGACAAGGACTATCATTTTTAATATAGATAGAATTCTAGGAGACATAAAATCACTCTAACTATGATGTATAATTTGATTATAGTACCTACTAACTCAAATAAAAAAACTTATATAATAAATTAAACAAGTATTTTAACATCATTTAAAATAGATTTAACAACCGTATATATTTTTTTTCTTTTTTTTTTTGCTACAAAAGTAGAAAAAATCATGAAAATAAATGTCGAATAAATATAATCAAACCATATTGCAGTTTATTCAAGTGAAGGTGGTTCTCCAACCATTTTAGAGGTTTGTTTAGATAAGTAGCTCTAATGGGTTGATGCATCTAGGAGGAGATTGACACAATTATTGCCCTTGTAAACGTGAATGAATTAGAGTTCTTAATCTTCCTAGAGGAATATTTGGACATTAGATTTATTGGTTTTGGTCGAAGCTTCATTGTTAGCCAATTTATTAAGGAGGTGTTTGCCAAAAGAGAGTCAATTCAACAATTAATTCTTTGATGTCATACTAGAAAAATATCTTTTAAACCCGTAAAAGTGCCTTAGGCTTCTACTTCTATTAGCAAGTTGGAACCCAATTTAGATATAAAACTCACAATCTATTGGTATGTACTTAATAAGAAGTAAAATAAGTCAACATGTACAATCAGCAGTTGAAAAAGTTAAATTCTACATTCAGCATTACAGTAAAAAAAAATTGTTGTAATTAGTTAAAGCTGTTTGGATTAACTGATTAGTTAATTTTTTTAATATAATTAATCAGGATTAGATATTGTATATAAATACTCAACTCATCTCATTAATAGAATATAATTTCTCATATTCCTTGTTCTTTTTCTCTCGAATTAATTTGTGAGAAAAATCTTTCAATATTGAAGTGATTTCAGAGTTAGTAGAACTATTTCAAATAAGATTACTGATTGAAGTTTAATTTGAATAACTTGTGGTAGCTTAATTTATATATATATTTTTAAAAAATCTATAATCAATTAAAATATATCTATTATAATTTATAGAGAGAAATAAAAATATTTAAAAATAAAAAAACAAAAGTGTCATAAAAGCAGGTCGAAGTTATTTGCATCACTATCCATAAATTACAATAAAAATTATTCTTTTCCTTATTATAATTAAGAGCCCTAAGTATTTGTCATGCACTCTCACAATTCAAAAAGATCTTGAAGGGGGGGGGGGGGGGGGGGTTCCCTTCAAGTAAAACGTTAAAAAAGCAATGACAAAACTCAAGTAAAGGGCAAATATTTGATAAATTATTTAATAAATCTAGTTTGTATAGGATACTTGCGTTATAAAATTTTAACTTCTTATCAAAGGCATAGCAAATGTTTGAGGATGTTAGTTTAAATTAAAAAATAAATTTAAATATTGAGGAAAGTAAAAAGCCAATTTCAAATACGTTGAAAAATGAAATAGCAAATAAGTAAAATATAATTTACACATTTCTTTGATTTAATATTGCTTTGTAGTACGTATCTATACATTCGTTTTTTCTTAGCGAGATCATATGTGTGTGTGTGTGTGTGTGTGTGTGTGTGTGTGTGTGTGTGTGTGTGTATATATGTATGTATTCAGTAAATGCGAATTGCAATTCTCAAATGGTGCCAATGGCACGTTCCACTGAAGTAGTGTCACAGGCATTCTGTGCGGACTCTTAACTGCGCCCTGTAAAATGCTTACGGTTGGCAGGTGGCCATGTTAGCTAGCTTCAAACACTTCTCTTCTGCTGCTTCTATCTTCTTCCAATTTCTCAGGCAAAATCTAATCATGCAAAATTACCAGCACACGTTAGACCCCAGAACAGAATATGCTGTCAACTGCAAGAAAAGCAACCGTAGCTCGCCAAGAACTACTTCTGATCCAATCAGTGAGATCCCTTATTTGCAGACCCACTTCAACTCTCGTCCCAACCCCAGACCTAAACCCAAATTCCGACCCACCACCTTATTTGACTGCGCAAACAAACCAGAAAATCATCCATTTCAAATATATCCCACCTTCAAGACCATTCTTCAATCACCAATCTCCCTTTTACGGCGACCTTTTCTCTCGACTTAAGAAACCCGCCTGTCTTTTTGAGGCCAAAAGGTTGCATGCTCTTCTGATTGTCAATGGTTTCTTTCATTCGGCTAGTACTGATAGGGTGCTGGGTTCTCAACTTGTCCACGTGTATGTCAGCTTTGGTTGTTTACGTGATGCACTCCTTGTGTTTGATAAGCTGCCCCAAAAAAGTAATATTGCTTGGAATGCTGTACTCAGGGGTTTTCTTGATGTGGGTCAGTTCTCCAAAATGATTGAATTCTACAACCTGATGCTCAGCCATGGACTTACTCCTGATAATTTTACGTATCCGCTTCTTTTGAAGGCTTGTTCTGGTTTAAATGACCTTGAACAAGGAAGAGAACTTCGAGATATGATTCTATTGAACGTCACTTATCATCCTAATCCAAGGCCAAATGTTTTTGTTGGGTGCGCTATGATTGACATGTTTGCAAAGTGTGGTAGTTTGAACGAGGCACGTCAGGTATTTGATGGGATGCCTGAGAGAGATTTAGCTTCATGGAGTGCAATTATTTGTGGGACTATACAAAGTGAGCAGTGGTTTGAGGCGTTGTCTTTGTTTAGGGAGATGAGAAAGGAAGGAATACGGCCTGATTCAGTTATTGTGGCTGCTGTTCTTCCAGCATGTGGTAGACTGGAAATCAAGCAAATAGGAATGGCATTGCAAGGCTGTGCTGTAAGTATTGGCTTTGAGAGTGATTTGTTTGTTTCCAATGCACTTATTGATATGTACTGCAAATGTGGTGACGTCGATAATG